ACATACTTCTTATGCATAGACATCTTATAGGCAAACAAATTATCAAGGTAAGCAAAAACTAGCATATGCAAGGAAGCGGAAAGAAACAATAGCAATCTCAACATAACGAGAGGTAATTTAGTAACATGAAAATTTCTACCACCATATTTTCCCCTCTTATAATAATTACATGTAGGATCATAAGCAAATTCAACAAAATAGCTATCACATAAAATATTTTCAACACGATCCGCATGCAAGCAAAGTTGACACTCTTCCAAAATAGTGGGATTAACATTAACTAAAGTCATGACCTCTCCAAACCCACTTTTATCAAAAACTTCATAAGATTGAGCATACTCCAAATATGTGGGATCTAAAGTTGACACTCTTCCAAACCCACTTTCAATAATATTACAAACACTATTATCAATCTCATATTCATCATGGGGCTTAAATAATTTTTCAAGATCAAAAGAAGAATCACCCCAATCATGATCATTGCAACAAATAGTAGTCATAGCAAAACTAGCATCCCCAAGCTTAGGGTTTTGCATATCATTAACACAATTGACATTAAGAGAATTTATAATAACATCATTGCAATCATGCTTTTCGTCGAAGGAACTATTAAGTATGGGTGCAATAGCAACGATCTCATGTTTAACATAAGGAACTATAGCAAATTTATCTTCATAAATATTGGCATCATGGCCTCAGGAATAGCAAGCATCATGTTCATCAAGGGATATTTCAATCAAATCATCAGAATCATAATTATCTATAGATTCATGCATATCATTATTTTCTTCCGAAGCAACGGTCATTCTTTTAATAAATTCTTTGGCATAGACATTATGAGCATATTTTTCATAGCAATATTTAAGTATGTCAAAATTTTCAGATTAGTAGAGAGTAATATCATACTTTTCAATCAAAGAAGCAACTTCATAAGCACCCTTAAAAGCAACAAATTCTTCAATTCGTTTGATATCGTAGTAACTATAAACACCCTTTGCATAAGAAGATAAGATTTCAATATCATTAAACTCACATAGGTAGGGGAGGTGTTTTTTAGGGTTCTTAGAGCAACAAGTAAAATCACAAATTTCACAAAGATTCCAAGCATAACACAGCAATCTGTTTATTTGATTCCATAAGAGTCTCTCTTTTTCAGACAAATGGTGACGCACAAAATGAGCATGCTCATCTAAAGATTTCCCATCAACTAGGCTAGTTGGGGTTTCAGCACGAGCACATAAGGATCGAAGATGATCTAAGTAGAACACTTCAAGTGGATCCATATCAATAGATTTTTAGCAAGCAAATAAAAGGCACATGGAAACACAAACAAGGAGACATATGGGAAGAAGGCAAACAAAAGAAGAGGCAAATAGGGAAAGAGAAGGAGGACAGAGAGAGAGGGCGAATAAAACAGCAAGGGTGAAGTCGGGGAGAGGAAAACGAGAGGCAAATGGCAAATAATGTAATGCGGGAGATAAGGGTATGTGATGGGTACTTGGTATATTGGCTTTTGCGTAGACCTCCCCGGCAAAGGCGCCAGAAATCCTTCTTGCTACCTCTTGAGCACTGTGTTGGTTTTCTCCGAAGAGGAAGGGATGATGCAGCAAAGTAGCGTAAGTATTTCCCTCAGTTTTTGAGAACCAAGGTATCAATCCAGTAGGAGGCTACGCGCGAGTCCCTCGTACCTGCACAAAACAAATAAATCCTCGCAACCAACGCAAATAGGGGTTGTCAATCCCTACTTGGCCACTTACGAGAGTGAGATCTGATAGATATGATAAGATAATATTTTTGGTATTTTTATGATAAAGATGCAAAGTAAAATAAAAGTAAAGTAAAAGCAAAAGGAAATAACTAAGTATTGGTAGATTAATATGATGAAGATAGACCCGGGGCCATAGGTTTCACTAGTGGCTTCTCTCGAGAGCATAAGTATTCTACGATGTGTGAACAAATTACTGTTGAGCAATTGACAGAATTGAGCATAGTTATGAGAATATCTAGGTATGATCATGTATACAGGCATCACGTCCGAGATAAGTAGATCGACTCCTGCCTGCATCTACTACTATTACTCCACTCATCGACCGCTATCCAGCATGCATCTAGAGTATTAAGTTAATGAAAACAGAGTAACGCCTTAAGTAAGATGACATGATGTAGAGGGATAAACTCATGCAATATGATGAAAACCCCATCTTGTTATACTTGATGGCAACAATACAATACGTGCCTTGCCGCCCCTACTGTCACTGGGAAAGGACACCGCAAGATTGAACCCAAAGCTAAGCACTTCTCCCATTGCAAGAAAGATCAATCTAGTAGGCCAAACCAAACTGATAATTCAAAGAGACTTGCAAAGGTAACCAATCATACATAAAAGAATTCAGAGAAGATTCAAATATTGTTCATAGATAGACTTAATCATAAACCCACAATTCATCGGTCTCAACAAACACACCGCAAAAAGAAGATTATATCGAATAGATCTCCACAAGAGAAGGGGGGAACTTTGTATTGAGACCCAAAAAGAGAGAAGAAGTCATCTAGCTACTAACTATGGACCCGTAGGTCTGAAGTAAACTACTCACACTTCATCGGAGGGGCTATGGTGTTGATGTAGAAGCCCTCCGTGATCGATGCTCCCTCCGGTGGAGCTCCGGAACAGGCCCCAAGATGGGATCTCGTGGATACAGAAAGTTGCGGCGGTGGAATTAGGGTTTTGGCTCCGTATCTGATCGTTTGGGGGTACGTAGATATATATAGGAGGAAGGAGTACGTCGGTGGAGCAACAGGGGGCCCATGAGGGTGGAGGGCGCGCCTGGGGGAGGTAGGCGCGCCCCCTACCTCATGGCCTCCTCTTTTGTGTCTTGACGTAGGGTCCAAGTCTTCTGGGTCTTGTTCGTTGAGAAAATCACATTCCCGAAGGTTTCATTCCGTTTGGACTCGTTTGATATTCCTTTTCTTTGAAACCCTAAAACAGGCAAAAAACATCAATTCTGGGCTGGGCCTCTGGTTAATAGGTTAGTCCTAAAATAATATAAAAGTGGATAATAAAGCCCAATAATGTCCAAAACAGTAGATAATATAGCATGGAGCAATCAAACATTATAGATACGTTGGAGACGTATCACATTCACATCCTATTTCCTCCTGATTAGTTAAGAGTATCTACAGCCGAACTTGTTAAATCTGCCCCTTCAAATGTCTGCGGATATTGACAGGTCAAGTCTCGGTTTTTCCTTCTTACAACTGGACACCTAAATTGCCATACCTCAAATCCATACAAACTCATGCAAATAGGTTGATGCATTACATACATCGTTCGGCTACTACATCACTAACTTGTCATCGGACTACCAAAAGTTGGCGTGATTCGCTATGGTGGAGAAGATCATCCACGGTTGCCCTTGCCCTTCTTGGCATCTTTGTCACGGAAGCTCCGGTCGAAGACGAAGTATTAATCGAGCCGGATCTGCTGCTCACCGGAGTTGTCCGACCCATCGTTGTCCTCCTTCTCCTCCTTGGGTGGGCAGTCCGACCATTGCACGGACCATCTGATTCTGCTCTCGGGTGAGGGCGCACGTGTTCCATCGCAGCTGCTTCTTTACAATGCGGGCGCGGATGGCTTCCTCCTCTGCGGCCGCCATGTTGGCAACGAGGCAGGCCCCCGCCACCCTTATCCTCTCCTTCCCACAGCGAGCACACCGGTCCTGATGGGACTCATACTCCACTGGAGCGGTGATGGGGAAGAGGAGATCTGCAGGCTCTCGGGACCGCGATGATCCAGCCCCGAAGGATCCGAGCGCCCGATGCGCCGACGCTATAGAGTCGCGCCGGATAGGTCCTTTCGTCGGCTGGGCGCTGTCGTCCCGGGAGTGGCGGAGTGCAATACGGACGGCCACTGCCTCCTCCAACTCACATGGGATGACACCCCAGTCAACGGATCCTGACTGGTCGGAGTCAGGTCTGCTGCACACCATGCTGGAGATCGCCGGACAGGAGTTTGGGTGGCGGAGGGGAGTGGAATGGAGTGGAGTGAAATGACTAAGGTTTGGTCCAACGAGCGGATGAGGAGGAATATATGTGGGGTCTGCTAGGCCGGGTCCGACATGGCGATCACCTGGGCGCCCCCATATCCGCCTCATATTTGGGCTGGATATGAAGGGTGCCGGTCAATCCGGACATTTGAGGTTCGTTTAAGGCGCCCGTCTGGGTCGAATTTTTGTGACCGGTTAGTGGTCAGGTTGTTCATCCACACGTTTGAGGCGGTTTGGGGCGCCCGACCTTAGATGTTCTAAGGCGGCGGTGTTTGATCAATTTCTCCAAATGCATCATCAGATTCGCAATATAGGAATTCATACATTGCTTCAGAATGACCCGGTGGAGATTTTATGGACGCTTCATGTAGACAATTATGTGTCCAAATAAATTAAATTCAAATTTGAATTGTTTAATTTTAAAACTTTATTATACTAGGTATTTGAACTGTAATTAGAACTACTCTTATTTCAATTGGAGATGCCTTTTTTTTGGTAATATCAATTGGAGATGCCTTGACGAGCCAAACAGCTCGTTCCAAACAGCTTGAGTAGGGACCGTGGATCACGGTGACCCGTCTGGGAGCGAATCCGCTAGTGGGGAACTCTCTGTGCCCTCCGCTTCGCCTCGCTGCAGCACTTCCTCCCCCCTCGTCTGCTCCGCTGGCCTACCCCGATCCAGTCGCCACGGCTACCGCCTCTCCCAGTTTCCACCTGTACGTCATTCCCTGTAGGCGCCGCCGTCCGCTGCACGTTCCACCACCTCTACCCCCGTCCACGGTGGCCATCGCCTAGGCCCCACCTCATTGTCCTCCTCTTGGGCGGCCGCCGGCGCCTCCGCCGTTGCTCCCATGGCGTTAGGGTCGAACGGTCCCGGGAGAGCCGACTGCTGACTGAAGCCCGAGCGCAGGTGTTTTCTTGCCCGGTGGAACTGAGGCCCGCCACCTGTTCGACGGAATGCCGAAGAGGCGCAGGACCAGCGAGGAGGCGACCGATGCGAGCGGCGAGGATCTCATCAGCGCCCTGCCTGACGCCGTCCTCCAGGTCGTGCTGTCCTTTCTGCCCTCGGACGAGACAGTGCGGACGTGCGTGCTCGCTCGGCGCTGGCGCCACCTCTGGAAGTCCACACCCGCCCTACGCATCATCCAGGGTGTTGTGATGTACTGGAATGCCGAGGAGATGAATAACTTCGTGAACTACCTTCTACTCTTCCGCGACCGCTTGCCCTTGGATGAATGTGAGATCAGTTACACCAATCCCTATGGCCTTGCCAATGAGGAATACAGTGAGATATTCCGGTTTGCTAATATGTGGATCCGCTATGCCGTGTCGCTCTGCCAAGCTCAGGTGCTCAAAGTCTGCATCCGCAATGTGCCCGTCTATCTGATGTGTGGCAATTCGACTCTCATGTCACAGTTTCTCAGGAGGGTGGAGCTTACAGGTGTGAATATGTGGAAACATTCACTAGACTTCTCAAGCTGCCCCGCATTGGAGCATCTGAATCTGTGCTCTTCAGCAATTTATGGCCCCAAGATCTCATCCCAATCAGTGAGACGTCTAAGCATCACTCAATGTGAATTCAATGTGAACACTGGTTCCCGCATATGTATTTCTGCCCCATGTCTTGTATACTTGCAACTAGCTGATGTTTTTGGGACTGCTCCTCTGCTTGAGAGAATGCCGTTGTTGGTAACAGCATTTATCAGGCTTGGTCACGGTGGTTTTGGTACCTGTACACATGAAGCTTACGGGGATTGTGATGAATGTTTTCCCTATGGTGGCTCCTTTAATTATCGTGACAGCAATGACTCTGTGCTTCTACAAGGCTTGTCAGGCACCACCAGTTTAGAGTTGACGACTATTGATCCTGATGTGGTATGCTTGCTCTTCTGCTTTAAATCCCAAAGTCTCCTAGTGGCTAGTGTTGCTTTCGATGTACTATACATGTGTATTTGTCATCAACTATACATATACTCACATTTTCAAAATCTCCTTACAGTTTGCATTGTCACCATGTAAAGTATTTGGGTAATCAAATTTTCATGACCAAACCTACTACTCCCTCCGATTCATATTAATTGTTGCTGGTTTAGTACAGCTTTAGTATAGTTGTACAAAACCAGCGACAATTAATATGGATCGGAGGGAGTAACTTTTTCATGATAATGAATTCGTGTATTATTCTTCAGATTCATCACTTGCCTGCATGCTTTCCATTCAACTAGATCGGTGTGTTAGCTTTCCGTTAGATATGGAACTGGATGATCAAGTATATAGGGATGTGGTGTAATCAATTGACATGTGCTTGCACAGATTATGCATGTAGCAAGACCGGGCGTAATTGAGCTACTAAACGAAAGTATCAGTGTGATGTATTGTAGTGCACATCTTGAGTGATCTGTTACATGTGGTTCCTGGTACAGTGATTATAGCACCGATCTGTATTGTAATTGCAGTACATAGTATAATTATAGCACTGATTATTTCAAAAGTACATGGAACACGTAGTTATTATATCCAGTAAGAAGCCCTTACCCATAACTCCAAGCATGTTACTATTGATTGAGATTTTACCACAGGAGGATCGTGTAAGATTCTGACATGCCAACATTTAGCACCATGTTACCAGGTTATATTGACTTATACTTGCAAACCAATTTTTTTGGCCCCAAAGTCAGCACTTCTGAAGTAAGCCATTTTGGTGCAAGCCCATCTGAGTTGATACGTACTTTGCCAGTCCAACATGGTGGCAGGGCTCTGAGCACATTTTGGGAATAGGGTGTTACTGTCTTACTGACATAAAGGACTCGACGTCAAATATTAGAGACCCAATTTATAAAACTGAAAGTGCAAGTACCAAATCGATAAACAAAAAGCGTCAGAGGGATCGGTACATAGTTTTAAGAAACGATTGTAGGTCAATATTGAAATTTTACTCACTTTGCACACAATATGTTTTTATACTCTTGGAATTTTCAATGTCAGACTTTTTGAAGTGTAGGATTGAGAATAATCAGCCGGTTACATTAATTCTTTAGGATTCTAAATCTGAAACCTATTCAATATGACGTGTTATCTGTCTTCTCCAGAAGATCAATCTAGACTCAATAAGACCTACCAGAGCTCCTAGTCATTTCAATATAATTGGAAAATAGTATCTAGTACTTTTTAAAATTTCAATTTTGTTTGTTCTTACTGCTCGCGCTTGGTGCAGTTCACTTTCAGAAAGGATTTGAAACAGTGCCCTACATTTAGTATGCTCAAGACATTATTACTCAATGAGTGGTGTGTAGTGGCTGACTTTGGTGCACTAGTTAACTTTCTTCAGTGCACGCCAATTCTGGAGAAACTTATTATTCAACTTCGACTTGAAAAGGTATATGTTGTCCAAGTATGGTAGCTTTGTCTTGTTGGAGGTACTATGTGTCATTTATTGATTTGAGTAAAATATTTTGTTAGCTTCCGAGAGAGAATTCTATGATAGAAACGTATGAAAGCTATAACCCAGCAGTACAGTTGGTATTGAAGCATCTCAAGGAAGTAGAAATCAAATGTCATAAGGAAGACGAGGTGGTTTGCCAGATTGTGAAGATCTTGAGTACCTTTGGAGTACTTTCTGATCAAATTGACATCCAAGTTATCCAAAAGGCATATGTTTCTGGAAGTAAGTTAGCTATTATTACTTTTCATGATTCATGTGTTTCCGCTATTTGCATTTGTGTTTAAAATTTTTGTCGATAATTACCATCACGAAGTAAGTTACTTATCATCACTCGACTTGATTGTGGCTTTCTATGGTAAAAAACTGCACTCTTACGTTACTTTGAAATATTTCAAATTAGACATTTCACACATGTATAAGAATTAAAAAAACGCAGGCTTAATGGAATGCAAGTGTAAACCTAAGCACAAGCAGCGGTGCATAGCTGTATCCTGTCACTGCCATTTTCCCATCTTTTGGCTGCAAATGCCTAAATAGCACCATGTCATACCTGGAGTCCACATTGGCGGTCCTTGGCAGGCCATCGGTAGTTAGCTGTTGTCAATATAGCTGCAGATGGTACCCAACATCATCTTTTTGAGATTTTGCATTTGACCATGGGAACAGTAATTTCGAAAAAGTACTTGTCCATCTCCAGTAGGAAATCTTGTTCTAGTGGATGTGACAAAAAGCTGGTCCATCAATGTCGTAGGAATGACTGTAGATCATGATACCATCTCAATTATCTCCATTAGCTGACACAACTCTCTGTGCTGTTGCCTGTTGCATCTCTTCACTCAAGATATGAGCACTGGTTAAAGGGGAGATTATCTATTCTTGCACTAGCAGCTTAGCATGAGCACTTTGGTAGCTTTGTAGGCCGCGGAAACGTTCAAAATGTCTGATCCACCTTAGAAGGCTGCAGTAGCCGAAATTCTCAGCCGGTTACGAGTTAATCCCTCTGTCCCATTACCACAACTAACCACGCACACAGACCAAGGAGACACATAACTTCTCTCGAAACGTTTAAGCTAGGGCAGGTATAAAACAATTCAATAGCTACACTTTGATTATCTCAATGGACAATTAAATGGAGACTCTTCCGAGGTCGTGGGAAGGTAATACCGAAACGGGAGAGCAGTGACACATCCTCCTAGCTTTCCAGCAATTAGATCATCTTGCATCCCGGTGTAAGTGTGAAGGCATTCGATGCATTGCAAGATCCAGCGCTGCCAACTCTCCAATGCTTATTGTGTTCTGTTGTGTTTCTGCAGGTTTCAGCTTCGAGCAGACTGAGATCCTGGATTGATGATGGATCTTCAGTCTCCTGATCGCTTGGGCACCTGTCTACTACAGCTATGAGTTTGTGGCCTTCTGATCTGGATGCTCTAGCAGTCTTGCTTTATCTGAACCTTGCGTTCTGAGTGAGTACCAGGACGTCCATGTTAGCTCAGGATCACTATGCTGGTTAGAATTGGTCTCAAGTTCGTTTGCATTTGGTGTGGGTGTCCGTTATGCAATGGTTGCCCTTGGAAACATGGTTGATGGGCTTCAAAGTGTTGTTTGTTATCTGTCCTTGGATTAGTTCGGCAGACTTTCCGAACGGTCTGAGTTTATGTCACCAACTTGCTTATTATCAGCTCCGCTTCTCCTGTCTGTCTCCTTTATGTTTCTTTAGATTAGATAGATTTATTCGGTTGGCTGTGATGTGTGCACATTTTGGTTCGAAATTGCTTTGGACCGATCTGATGTGCTGATCTGACAAGGCCGCAGGTTCATGCCTGCACTCCTGTGCGCTATTCTACCCTCGGGGTTCCAAATCTGCATCTAGAGGTGTCGCAGTTTCTTGAAAAGGAGTCGTATATATATGCCAACTAAAGTAAGGCGCAGGCTAATAAGTTCATCCAGCATAAAGTTTTTTTCTTTTTTCGAGAGTACGCCTAGGCGTACCATAGCTTTATAGAAGGCAGAATTTAGTTACAAGAAAGCTACCGCTCGATGCGAACAACGAGTGTAGCACGAACACCACACCGACAAGACCACAAACAAACACCACCGCTAGGCAAGCTACTATGCAAAAAGCCTATCCTAAACTGATACACAGCACCGCGCACCACCCTGAAAGCCTATCCAGCAGAAAGTTTGAATCCTCTTCAAATCTTGAAACTATCATCATCAGGTACTACAAAAGACACCACGCGATGCCCCGGCCATGGTGTTGTATTGCCCGCGCGGTGCGAACGTACCACCAGGCAGCAGCTGCTAGTACATCACAGTATTCCGTTCCCGTTGCCGTTGGCATCACGTGGCTGCCGTCACTCTACCCCCAGCACGGCCACAAATCGCACGAGCAGGAGCAGGGGGTAACATGGGTGAACAGTAGCCGTTGGCAGAGGGATCAGACTTAATCAGGTCGGCCCTTTGTCTTCCACCGGGCCGTGGCGTTGGACGTATGCGTCCGTATCCCGCGCGGCGGCGTGCGTGACCGTCGTCCCGTTGCAGCGCGGTCGGTCGAGAGCGGAAGAACGGGGAAAAACGGCAAAGGAACCTGTGGTGGTCCAGTCCAAACACCGAGTACGTGCCCGTCCTTCTCACGACCGCCTGCCTAGGAGGACCCAGGGAATGCGCGTCCTTGGGGTCTCGGGCTCGCAGTCTGCGTGACGAACATGACAGGGAATGCGCGTCGCGCGCCGTGCCATACCATGTTGCCCGCCGCCGTTCCCAGACCACGCACACATCGGTCGAACCAGGAAAGAGGCAGAAGTAGCTGGTCGTCGGCGCAGACCATCCGCCGGAGGCCCGAGATGCGTACGCAGATAGCACGCGCCGTTCGGTCAGCCAGCTAGACTCCTCTCCTCTAGTCTAGAGAAAGCGGTCCGGTCACACCCGGCGAGCGCCGCCGTTTTTCTGGGCCAAAACACGGCCGGCCATGCGTGTCGACGCATGGCTCCGCTTCCTCCGATCCACCGTCACATCCTTGATCCGTTGCGACGCGGTTTCCATTCGCCGCTTGGTGACAGACGCACTGCTACGCGCCTCGGCCTTCCAGTTTTTTTTTTCTTTGAGGGATGGGCCTTCCAGTTTTGCGCGAACGTTCCCATACGATCGAATTTGCAGCGAGGCCCGACGCGTGTACGCATTTGGGGTGTACAACGCTTTCGCGATTCCGTTCCAAGAGCACGTTACGCGCTAGTGCGGCGACGCTGTTTTGTTCTGGTCGGTTTGGTCGTCTCGTCGATGTGTGCTGCGCAGATGAATGTGTCAAATGTTCTGGAAGGAGCAGGCTCGGCCAAGCCTTTTCGGGTCCTCTTTTGTGAAAGCGGAACATTCCCACCCGGTGCGCCGGTCGAAACTTGCGCCGAAACGATGGAGAAAGCATTAACCAAGACTGCTGCAAAGAAAAATGACTGCAACCGTTGATAGAAAAGTTTCGACCGTAGATGAAAAAAGCTACAACCATTAAAGAGAAAGCCACAACCATACACTGCATAATCGGAAAAGTTGCATCCATTGTAGATAAAGTTTCAATCGTATGTGCAAAAAGCTTCAACCGGCGTGTGTTGCCACCGGAGCTGCAATCACAGTTTGATAGCCTGGTGGCCGTCGTCGACGCAATTTCGTGCAGCGATGAGCATCAACGGTGAGGGGCGACGACGGAGCTACAATCGGGGAGAGCTACAAGTGTCGCCGCTGCAAGCTGCAACCGCAGATGCAGTTGTTTCATGCATCACGGCGACGATGAGGACGGCTGGCGAGGGTTGGAAGTGGCGACGGGGACGGGCGGCGAGGGTGGGGACCGGCGACGGGGATGGCCGGCGAGGGTGTGGACTGGCGACGAGGACGGCTACCGGAAGGGATAGGATCCGCGGCGCCGCACAGCCCGAGCGAGGGGATCGAGTAGGAGAAAGAAGAAGCTGAGGCGAGTTTCTTTTTTTGGCTTCAGATCCAACCGCCGTGCGGCTCGCATCGAACGGCTAGGGCTAGACCGGCCGAAATTTTCGGCCAGCGCACCGGCGCCTATCGGTGCCCTTTGTGAAAGCGACACGTCTTCTTTTTCCTATCGCAAAAGGAAAAGAAAAAACTGTTCAGGCTTGATGAAGTTTTCAAACTTGTGAAAAACATACTATATTCAACTGTGATTTTGTTTTAGAGCACTCGTCGCACAGAAAACAAATATCCAAACGAAACACAAATTTGATTTTTGATCCACACATAAATAGATTCAAATTTGAAAGTCGGAGAGAAAACATGGGAGATGGGGTGGGTGCCGCAGTCTCTTGCAAAAGATGTATGCACAGCCCATGCTATGTGTTGGTCATCCGGCGCTAGTCTCGATCGGTGGCCTTCCACACCATCTGATTGAGTCCGCCTTGACCGTCGGATCCGATCATCTTCCTATCACACCCTGCTATGCGCATGCATCATCCCATTTGCATGCACACATCACGGTCGCCGCCCCATCGCCTAAACGTCTTTCTGACCACCCTCTCTTCCCAGCGTGGAAGTACGCCCAGCCACCACCATCGCTGCCGAATGTAGCTCGTCACCCTCACCTGCTAGTCGCAGCTCATTGGACGCAACTCATTGTCCCCGTCCTTGAACTGTCACCGTACCTACACAGATCTGTTGTAGCATTGCCAGTTGTAGGGCGTAACTCCCTGTCGTTGCCTTGCAGCCCCATACTAGCAGCATAGTCTCATGCTTGTAGCATCTCCTATCATTGCTCGCATCTCACCACGCTATCGTCCACGACATGGGCACGTCTGTTGTGGTGGCTCCGCTACAAACGGTCACTGACCATCGGTCGCAACGGTTTAAAGTAGAAAGTAAAGAACGAGAGAGTTTGAATGAAAGATGATCTATCAGTCTTTATTGATGATAGAAGTGGGGTATTTATACCCAGACGGAAGTACACATGTTACTTAGGAGTCAAGTAAACTCTAAGTTACTTGAGAGCTAAGGAATTACATAGTTGCCTTAAGAACCAAGGAAGTACATGGTTGCTTGCACAATTAACATAATCCTAATTAGCTTAATTAATAAGCAACTATTCTATTCTTAACACCCCCCTTGTACAACGCCTCTTCTTGGGTATATCCTTCATCTTGACAATTTTTTTGAATAATTTTGAATATCTCCTCCAAAAACCCTGTGGGAAAAATATGGGGAGAATAGTGCAGATATGTTGCTAAAACTCCTTTAAACCCAATGAGAAAAATAATAAGGAGAAAAATGATGCAACATATAATGTTTATTGTCTCTTGATAATGCATATGAGAAAAACCTTTGAAGAAGGAGAAAACCCATCAGTGAGTTTAGAGAACAATTAATATGTCTTGAGTACTTTCTTTAAAAACCCCGATAGGGAAAATAGAAAGTATGACGTATGATCTTTGATAAGATATTGCCTCATTAAAAACCATTAAGAGAAACTTTGAGAGAAAACTCATTAGGGAAAAGAGTGTGATATGATATGCCATTGAAAACTCCTTTAAAACCCACTGGAAAAATATAAGGACAAAATGATATGACATATACGTGAACTTGTGTTTATATTGTCTCGTTAAAAACCTTTATGAGAAACCATTAAGAAAAAACTCATGAAAGGAAAAATAGTACAATATATGCAATCTTAGGATTGTTAATAGGTTATAGATTTGGGAGATT